TGTATGATCCATCAGTGTACGATGACAGGTCAGATCGGCTTGGTTACACTTAAACCAAAGTAGCTTGTTCCAAAAATACGTTTTTTTTAGGAATAATGCATCGATACCATGGCAACGGAGAATTTGTTTAAAAGGCTGTGCTAATATTGGCAATCGAACTCGGGCCATTCTTTAACGCGCACTGACGACTTGGCTAACACAATAGTATGGGTGTCACGATAAATCGAAATATCGATATATTGCTATTGGTAAACAATTAAAGTCAATAAATCGATTGTTAAATCGGTTTCCGATCAATAGTATCGATTTCAGGTAGGAATCTCGATAGTTTCGGTCGTATTTTCTACTATTTACCATAGTTTTACAGTTTCAATAAAATATATGCAATGCTGTTCAAATTTGTTTTTCTTTTGATCATGAATGATATTAAATTACACATGATAATGTGGAAATTTCTTTTTTTAAATTATTAGGGTAAAGAAAAAACAAATCAGTCATTTCTCAAACTTTACTTTTTATTTGTTGTTATGGTTATCAGATTCAAAGGAAACTTCATTTCCAAGGTTTAATTCAACTCTAAAATCCATCTAAATGAAAATGAAAATGAAAAATATCAATATGTATCGCAATAGTTGCTTACAATATCAATAGTTATCACAATAGTTTCTTTCAATATCAATAGTTATCGCAATAGTGATTTCCAGACCAATATTCACCCCTACACAATAGCATATAGGAATATACAATCGGTCATAGTTAACTATTCATATTTGTCATTTTATAGCAATTAGTTTAACAATTATGAAAGAATATAGATGAACGGTAAGACATAAAAAGAGACTGGATTATACAGTAAAGCACGTTTATTCATCATTCGAGATCCCTTTTTGGCCATTCGAAATGATGCTGTACAAACCCAACATGGTGTGCCTGGTGAAGGCCGGGGACTGAAAGCTTGACTGTATATTTTTGCACTGATTTGAATTGCCCCATGGGAATGAACACACAAGAAGAATGAAAATATAGTTGACATTTTGTCTTTGGTATTCCCTGATTTGATTTGAAAGAATTAACAGGCTCGATAACTTGGTTGATACATGTCATAGTACCCCAACTGCGTGGATCGATGCTCATGATATCAATCACTGGATTGTCTGGTCCAGATTTGATTATTTACATACCGCCATCGTATTATATGCTGAATATTGCTGAGTGCGGTGTTAAACAACAAACAAACAAATTGAAAGAATTAAGGAGTTGAAATCCATAAGCATATTTTGGTGTGCCCCGCCGTGACGTTGCAGACATATTGCTAAAAACGGCGTAGAGCCCGACTCACTCACTCACTCTACTGATATACTGTTTATCATTATTGACGAGGGAAACAGTTCGCTTGTTTACCGAACTTTACAAGAACACAATAAAACAATTGAAATAACAAAAACAGGTTACATCCAAACACTGACGAGAGGAAAACGCAGGTTTGAGAGAGTCGCTCCCTTCAACGACCTCACAAACCCTTTGTTTTTGCAGACTGTTTTCAATTACCGCGATGTTAGGATCTGTTTTGAAACAGTTTGTCGATGATAAGAATTTCCACTTGCCGTCTTGTTGACCTCAAATGTGTTTTGCTAACTTTATTCTGCCATTTTAGCTTCATCTTTTCGTGTCATCCACACATCGCTGACCCCTGATACATGCAATTTGAAAACACTCCAAAGAGGTTGGAAAAATAGCGGGAACATTCTCCAGGAACGGGAGACAAGGACTTTGTTTAAACTACACGATAAAACCTAATCTTAAACAAGCATGTAAACACCAGGAGAGACAAGGTTGCAGGGATACTCTGAGAAAATCGCAGTTGTATTGACTAGCGTCTTGTGGAAAATGGATGTCGATAAAAAAATTCAAGTGGCACTTAAGATGTCATGCTAGTGCCAGGCACAGCTAGGCCCTACAAAACGACATAGCAGAAAACATAGAAATAGTAAAAGATGGAGGTAAATGCTATTAACGACATTTAAACATTTTTGGTTCAGGGGGTTTACTAACTAACAAGTACTCTGATAGCTGCCACACACTCTGTTTCTGCTTCGTTTTGGGGGATATTGGGCCTGCGGAAGTCATCACATCACCCCGGGTCGTAGCCCCTTCATAGATATTTGGGGGGTCTGTTTCGCGCCATGGAATATACATGGGGTGTTTTATACGCATGACATGTGAAGGGTAACTTACTGTAAGAAAAAAACAGCAATAAAAAATGTGGGCTTGTTTTTGTGGTAATTCTTTTTAAGAAATGACATATGTCCGTGATGGAAACCGATTCAAGTGTTTGGATGCAGTATGAAATACTTGAGTTTAGTTTCCTCGATTTTTTCATAATTAAATAAAATTGGTCTTGTGCCACCATCCATCATCTTTCCGGGGCAAAGGGAGTTAACTGACTGTAAAAGTCCAGTTTAAACTCAAAGAGAGTCAACTGACCGTACAAGTCCAGTTTCAACTCAAGGTGAGTCAACTGACTGTAAAAGTCCAGTTTCAACTCAAAGAGAGTCAACTGACTGTAAAAGTCCAGTTTAAACTCAAAGAGAGTCAACTGACTGTACAAGTCCAGTTTAAACTCAAAGGGAGTTAACTGACTGTAAAAGTCCAGTTTAAACTCAAATGGAGTCAACTGACTGTACAAGTCCAGTTTAAACTCAAAGAGAGTCAACTGACTGTAAAAGTCCAGTTTCAACTCAAAGGGAGTCAACTGACTGAACAAGTCCAGTTTAAACTCAAAGAGAGTCAACTGACTGTACAAGTCCAGTTTCAACTCAAAGGGAGTCAACTGACTGTACAAGTCCAGTTTAAACTCAAAGACAGTCAACTGACTGTAAAAGTCCAGTTTAAACTCAAATGGAGTCAACTGACTGTAAAAGTCCAGTTTCAACTCAAATGGAGTCAACTGACTGTACAAGTCCAGTTTAAACTCAAATGGAGTCAACTGACTGTAAAAGTCCAGTTTAAACTCAAAGAGAGTCAATTGACTGTAAAAGTCAAGTTTAAACTCAAAGACAGTCAACTGACCTTAAAAGTCCAGTTTAAACTCAAAGGGAGTCAACTGACTGTAAAAGTCCAGTTTAAACTCAAAGAGAGTTAACTGACTGTAAAAGTCCAGTTTAAACTCAAATGGAGTCAACTGACTGTAAAAGTCCAGTTTAAACTCAAAGAGAGTCAACTGACTGTAAAAGTCCAGTTTAAACTCAAAGGGAGTCAATTGACTGTAAAAGTCCAGTTTAAACTCAAAGGGAGTCAACTGACTGTAAAAGTCCAGTTTAAACTCAAAGAGAGTCAATTGACTGTAAAAGTCCAGTTTAAACTCAAATGGAGTCAACTTACTGTAAAGGTACAGTTTAAACTCAAAGGGAGTCAACTGACTGTAAAAGTCCAGTTTAAACTCAAAGAGAGTCAATTGACTGTAAAAGTCCAGTTTAAACTCAAATGGAGTCAACTTACTGTAAAAGTACAGTTTAAACTCAAAGGGAGTCAACTGACTGTAAAAGTACAGTTTCAACTCAAAGAGAGTCAATTGACTGTAAAAGTCCAGTTTAAACTCAAATGGAGTCAACTTACTGTAAAAGTACAGTTTAAACTCAAAGGGAGTCAACTGACTGTTAAAGTCTAGTTTCAACTCAAAGGGAGTCAACTGATTGTGCAAGTCCAGTTTAAACTCAAAAAGAGTCAACTGACTGTAAAAGTCCAGTTTCAACTCAAAGCGAGTTAACTGACTATAAAAGTCCAGTTTTAACTAGACTATTGTAGTCGGTTAACACCCTTGCCTCGGGAAGATGACCGTCCCTTTACTGTTATATGTTTTATATTGACACGTACATTCTCTTGCCCGTTGGAAAATCACCATCTGTCAGGTAACATTGTAAAGCTCCGAAGATTGGAGTATTCAATAATAGAATTATCAGATATCAAAAGACACCAGAGTGATATTCCATTTATTATCGGATACAATTCATAATAATTTATTATGGTAACGTGTTAATTATGTTTTAAATTTGAAGTTCGAACTATGTGAACATTATTTAGGCGGATCATAATGAACGATTATGTAATCACTTCTTTAAATCGACTGGATTCTTTGAGGACTAACCATTTTATTTACCTGTAAATCCTTACCTAGATTGTCCATTTGCGCGTGGTAATGTGGGTTCTTTTTATTTGTGATTAGTTTGGTGGTGACTTGCAAATATGTTACAGTGTCACTGTGTGTATTTCACAGCGTGTACTAGTAGTCTGTTTCACAGTCCTTGAAAGGGTCGGCGGGGTAGCCTAGTGGTTAAAGCGTTCGCTCGTCACACAAAAGACCCATGTTCGATTCCCCACATGGGTACAATATGTGAAATCCATTTCTGGTGCCCCCGCCGTGATATTGCTGGAATATTGCTAAAAGCGGCGTAAAACAATACTCACTCGCTCACAGTCCTTAAACCATGTTAGTTTCCCTTCCTCCCAGCCCTTTCTGTAATGCAAAACACCAAATGAAGCAAGTCTAGATTTTCCTCAGGTGTAGGATCTCTCGTCTCATTGCGCCTCCTATTCAATTCAAATAGAGTTTCTCTAAAGATAAGTTAGTCTACGTGTACTGGGTACAATGTTTGAAGCCCATCGCAGATGCCCTCCGCCGTAATAGTGCTGGAAAATTGCTAGAAAATTGCTGGAATGAGCGGCGTGAGGCCATACTCAGTCATAGATTGTACTTGCACTATATACCTCTTTAATTTTGATCTTGGTTCGAATCCCAGATTTCCCTGATAATGGCTGTCGCCACCATACGGTGCTCATCACATCAAAGTGGTAAACAGCGAGCACCTGTAATACTTTCCTCCCACAGTAAGCATGCGCGGACGCGCCTTGATATAACCGACAAAATGTTCTGTTTGCCCAAATTGACCAACTTTCATCATCATCATGCTTGATATTATATTGAATATTTTTGGTCATTTCAGAATCTCCGTCAGCCATCCTCTAACCATGGCCAACTTGGTAGCTCGTGGAGAGATCGCTCACCTCATCCTCTGGAACGACACCAGTGAGATCCTGCAACGTCTCAACGACGCCAAGGCGTTTCTATACATCCCCGTCATCGTCTTCCTCATCATTCTGGTCGTCGTGGGGACGTTTGGCAACATCCTCGTGTGCTGTGTTTACTGGAACAAGCCGTACAAGGCGTCCTCCCACTACTTCATCCTCTCCCTCGCCATCCTTGACCTCTTCAGCTGCGTCATCGGCATCCCCACCGAGATCGCCGACCTCCGATACCCGTACATGTTCTATGCCCCCGCAGCGTGTAAACTCCTCCGATTCGTGCATTCCTCAACCATCATTGCCTCATCATCAATCCTCATCGAGGTGGCCTTTGACAGATATTTTCGGATCTGCAAACTCGGCCGTCAGTACAGCGTCCACAAGGCAAAGATGCTGTGTATTTTGGCCATTTCGCTGGGAATACTCACCTCATGGCCATCTTGCCTTCTGTTTGGACGCGAGACCATCCATTTTGGGATTCCTGGTGTTGAAGGCGTAGACTGTTCCACGGCAGACTGGGCGAAAGGAACCATCTACCCGACCCTCTACTACGGCTTCCTCTTCACCCTCTTCTTCATCACCGTCACCTTCTTCGTCGTGCTGTACAGTCGTATCGGGATTGTCATCTGGCGGAGGAAGAAGACCACCATCGGGGCCAAGATCGCCGTGTCCAAGTCCGGCATCAACAGCCAAGTATCCGACCCCACGTCGACCGAGGTGTCGTCGGAAGTTGACGAACACGGATGTCATAAGGGCCAGCACACTAAGGAAGCTATGCCGGCGCTGGGAAAGGACACGCTGAAGCAGCGCCAGAAGATGAGGGTGGGAAAGACCACCACTGTTCTGTTTGCCGTCACTCTGGCCTACATCCTCAGCTTCCTCCCGTTCCTCATCGTCATGGTTCTCAGAAGCATCATCAAAGACTTCGAGGGGAGGCTGTCCCCAACAGGCGAGGTAGCGTACAAGTTCTGTGTAAAATCCTTCTTCATTAACAATGCAATAAACCCCGTCATCTACAGCTTCCTGAACGCCAGTTTCAGGAGGGATGCCAAGCACCTACTGAGGAAGGTGGTCCGAGTCTGCTGTTGCTGCTGTTGCTGTAAAACGGAAGACAGGTGGGAGCACTCGGATGCTGTTTAAGACAGGACACTCCTGTTATTTATTGATAGCAGAGGTGATATCATATGGAAAGGATGTCTTTCTATAAAAGGACAGAGACCGTTGAGCCAATTGGAATGGTCAACACCCAACGGTGACCTTTGAACCATCCAAACAGGCGCTGCCCACTACCTCATCACAGCAGCCATGTTGGGAAGAGTCATTAACATCAACAGTGCAGACCAACATCTAACGTGGTGACAGATCTATAGTGGTCGATACATGAATTGTCTAGGAATATCCCAAACAGTAAAAGAGTGAGACGATTGAAAGTCTTACCCCAGAATGTAAACTCGGACACGTAATGTGCAATATCTGTACATAGATGTAAATAGTCATGGATGTGCTAGGACTTAATGTGGTGTGTACGTGTTTGTGTATACTGTGTGAGATCTGTAATTTTGTGCTATACCGTCTTATTTCTTATACCAGACTTCCATTTCTGTATTTTTGTTTGTAACTGAGGCGTTTCTATTACTTGGATTACGGACCCGTCAAACTAAAATCAAAACATTTCGTCGAATATATTCCAACATTCAAAGCCCCAGTAAAGGTTTCAAAAGTTTAACATGTGGAGTAAACTTCGAAATTTTACGTACTGGTGACAAAATTTATTTCCTATTTTGACTTGTACTATGTGTTTCCGTTTTTTTTAACAATTAACTTGCCCTTGCATGATTTTGTGACGGATGCCACTGGTGGGTCAGGATACGCTTATCTTTTCGCAAACACCTGGTATCATCACTATTTAATAGTGATTCATAAACACATTCTTATATAGTCAGAATCGTACAATGGACACTGCTTTTGGTAGCAATTTCTAATGGAAATGGTTTTGTCACTTTTATGAACTATTTTCAAATGAAAAGAAAAGTCAACCTATGACAGGTCTATAACTTTTCTATGAAGGCAAAGAGGCTTCCGTACATCCTAAGTTCGCCATAAATAGATTTATTGCTAACTAGTATTAACAATTTTATTAACACATTTTTCTTTTATTTCAATTTTTAAATTCATCCCCCGACAGTATTTTAAGACATCATAAGATTTGATTTTATTTTGGAAAATAATCCGTCAACCAATTGCAATAAAGAAAGCCTCACACGCAGTGTGTATCCTGTGTGGCAGCCTCGTCCCTCTTGGCTGCATTTAGCACCATCATGACCATCATATAATTCCCGCATCACTACATGATGAAATCATTTACATCATCATCACGTGGACATATCACATACCATCAGTGGGGTAGCCTCGTGGTTTAAGCATTCGCCGTCACGGGTCGATTCCAGCCATGTGTGAATTTTTTTAATGGTGTCCTCCGTCGTGATATTACTGAACACTGAAAAACCACAACGTTAACCATCAGTATGAGGACCAAGCATTTAACATCACCATAGAAATGTGTATCACTAACATAACATCACTATCCCTTTGTGGACCAATCACATAACGTCAAACATCACTTATTGGACCAATATATCAGCCTGTATGACACTGATGTGGCTACATATTACAATACCATCACTGCATGGGCCATCCATTGTAACATCAACAACTGTTTTATTCCAACACGATGCATTTCCAGTAATAACGAATTATATGTAGACATATGTGCCTTTACTTTATCGAGGTATGAATGTTGTGGGAACATGCATGATTAAAACCAATGACGATACATATTTTGTCTGTTTTTCTTTAAAGTGATACAGAGAACCTTCGGGTAAAACGAAGCCAGTTCTGAGGTTACTAACTTTGTTTGTTTGTTTGTTTGTTGTTTTATGCTGCACTCAGCAATATTCCAGCTATATGACGGCGGTCTGTAAATAATCAAGCCTGGACCAGATAATCCAATGATTGACATCATGCGCATCGATCCAGGCGATTTGGATACTATGACATTCATCAACCAAGTCAGTGAGCCTGACCACCCGATCCCGTTAGTCGCTTCTTATGACAAGCATAACCGCCTTTTACGGCAAGCATGGGTTACTGAAGACACTTTGTTTGTGATGAATGTGTGTGTGTGTGTGTGTGTGTGTGTGTGTGTGTGTGTGTGTGTGTGTGTGTCTGGTGTGTGTGTGTGTCTGGTGTGTGTGTGGGGGGGGGGGGGGGGATTTTTATCTAAGGTCAATTCACGTTCATTTTATCAGGAAATGAGTTTATTCCACTAGTTGCAATAACTCTTGAACGGCGACTGTTCCTTTGTCTATCTGTTTCGGTTTATCCGAAATTTAGAATGAGATTTCTGTTTGTTTGTTGTTTAAACCCGCTTTCAACAATAATATAGTTATATGACTATATAGCCCCTAAATAGTCGAGTCTGGACCAGGCAACCCAGTTGTTGATAAAATGAACAACGATCTTAGTCATCGGGCTCTATGACTCACAATCAACCAAATCACCGAGCTTGATCACCCGATCCATCAAATCACCCCAACCCCAACCCCCACCCACCCCATCCACGAACACACCATTTGTTGCTGGGTACATATTCTAAACATCCTTCCAAAATGAGGTTTCTGAAAAAAACACGTTTTCATATAATCTAGGGAACCCCCAGCCTATGAGGGCTCTAACAATGGTCTAGCCATAAATATGGTCTAACATATAAATATAAAACGTCAATGTCAGAAAATAACCAGTCTAGATTATCCACAAAACAGATTCCATTGGGCGTAAAAACGAAATAGCGGTGAAAATTATATGAATGGATCACTGAAAATAAGTAATGACAATTGGTGTTCGCGAAAAGACCAAACACAATGCGTCATACATTGAAGGTAAACTTAAGCTCCTTTCAAAGCAAACACGAAGGACGTTAAGATACTTATATCCGTTAGTTAATCTCGTAAAAATTACTTTTGGTGTGACTCTAGAAAATGACGTTAAATATAGCCTTCATATTAATTACTGTGCTGGTTTACAACTGACGCCCTAATTATATAGCAGATTTAGTTCATGGTTAACCCAGAGAGGTTGTGAAGTGATTTGGTGGCGACTTGAGAAGATGCCAGAAGCCATCATGTATAGGTCAGGGATGTGTCCCCGCAAGGAAATACTTGATGAAACGTCAGAGCTCAAACACACTGCCTCTGTAACCAATTATCCGCACAAGCCAATTCTCAGTGACCCGAGCGGTGACATTTGGATCTGTGGACATTCTCCAGGTCAGGTAGTACCGAAGCACAGAGCGCTGGTCATACGCAGGGGGCAAGACGCTTGTGCAGCTAAACTAAGCCAGATGGTTATCGGCGTAATATCACTTCAAACATCGCTGCATGGGAGGTACATATTAAATACGAATCATGTTTCGTTGAACAAAGAAAGTGAAAATATCTGTACAGTGACAGTTTCTTGAAGCGCTGGCGAAGTGGGTGGGTCTATAAACAGAACTAGTGAAAATAACTCTTTTTTTGAAGAGAATAACCGGTTGTGTGTGTTTTGCTACTACATCGTGATTTTCAGATAGGTAGTTTATGAAAGGAAGATGGCGTCCTGATGGGAACACCTCGTGTAAATAGTTGCAGTGTTCCGAAACGATACTGATGTCGTGGAAATAGCTTAACTGTTGTTGGTGTGACTGAGGGATTCTTATCTGTGGAACAATATTGTGACAAATGGAATTTGCATAAAAACATCCCACAATACGGAAGGGTACTCACGGAGGGATGATGAAATTCAAAGATAGGCATATCACCGTAGCTTTATCGCAACCATCAGATATTCTTGTAAAGGAAATATATAGGCAAATGTGTAGGGGGTTCTATTACTTCTTCAACAGTGTGTTTGCTTCCCGAATAGAGCCGATGAAGTTGTGGCTTGTAGTGTGTGTCTACTTCTCTAAATGCCGTGTTCCTTACACAGCAAGGGGTCGATCCCTTGATATTGTGGGGCCGGGGGTGGGATTAGGTAGGGGTGGGGGTGCTGGTACATGTGTATTTGGGGGGAAAATATAACATTTCCCAAAACGTGAAAACAATAACTTGTCGTGAGATTTTACGCACAAAAAGCGTTCGTAGGACACGCTGGATGTTCTGAAAAATCATTAATGTGTTGTAGATCTAGAGTTGTTTGGTTCCTTCTCTGAGACAAAAGAAATGGTACGTCTTGAAGCGCCGACCGAAAATAGATTCTGTCTCAGACAAAAATCCCTCCGGAATATTAAATCGTCACTCGGTTAGTCCATCGATCTAAGGCGCCACAACTGATGACAGTGTTAACTACGTGTAGTTTGAATACCATATTGACACCCATTATGATCCTTGGTATCTTCTAGAGCTGAAGGAGTTCAATATTGTGGTATATTCAACGACCACGACAACTCTGGTGTTTCCCCATTATGATCCTTGGCATTTCTCGGGCTAAAGGAGTCCAATATTGTGGTATATTCAACGACCATGACAACTCTGGTGTTTCCCCATTATGATCCTTGGCATCTTCTGGACTGAAGGAGTTCAATATTGTGGTATATTCAACGACCACGACAACTCTGGTGTTTCCCCATTATGATCCTTGGTATCTTCTAGAGCTGAAGTAGTTCAATATTGTGGTATATTCACCGACCACGACAACTCTGGTATTTCCCCATTATGATCCTTGGTATCTTCTCGGGCTGAAGGAGTTCAATATTGAGGTATATTCAACAACCACGACAACTCTGGTGTTTCCCCATTATGATCCTTGGCATCTTCTAGCGCTGAAGGAGTTCAATATTGTGGTATATTCAACGACCACGACAAGTCTGTTATTTCCCCATTATGATCCTTGGTATCTTCTCGGGCTAAAGGAGTTCAATATTGTGGTATATTCAATGACCACGACAACTCTGGTGTTTCCCCATTATGATCCTTGGCATCTTCTAGAGCTGAAGGAGTTCAATATTGTGGTATATTCAACGACCACGACAACTCTGGTGTTTCCCCATTATGATCCTTGGCATCTTCTCGGGCTATAGGAGTTCAATATTGTGGTATATTCAACGACCACGACGACGGTGTTTTCTTCTAGCTGGCCGTTATATAACTCAAAATCTGTCTTAATGCGGCGCAACACATAACTCACTCACTCATACTCAGATTCCCGTTTACAGTTACTTGTATAAGAGATCACGGCGGAGCGTGTAAAGACCAGATCGGGGTACTCACTGGTACAAACTGATTCACATATGTTAGATCAATACAAACGTGTATGGTACAAACGTTCCCGCAAACGTGGCAGATTTAGCTTTTTGAGTTTTAAATATGCCTTCTACGGCGGCCATTTTGAATTCATGATGGGAATTATATAAGGAGAACCATCTGAATCCTACAGCTGACTAATGGCCGCAGATTCAGTTAACAATATAGCAGTGTAAATGCCAACTTTGAAGTTTGGACAAAATATGTTCAAAATCTCAATCTTCAAAGTGGAGATTTTTTTGAATATTATTTAACCTATGAAATGAAATGTTTAAAGAATTTTTGGTGAACCTATCTTTTAGTATATAGTAGAAGGACGTCCAAAGAATATCACAATTTTCTAAACAGAAACTGAAGAAATCGAGACTTGCCAACGTACTGTAGGCCTGCGTGGGAATTAATTAATGTGGTAACGCATTAATTTCATATTTTCAAAATATGTTTTTCACCTATCCTCGGGCCAGAAGTAAGGTAAAAATCTGAAACCATAAATACACTTTTTTTACAAATGACATAATGTTAAACACAAACATATGATCATCAATGTTTCTTTTCAAAGCTGAGACAGGGAGCATTTCATATTTTCTTAAAGTTCTTGAAGGAATGTCACAGGTCAGTTGAGGTCACAGGAGGATAAGAGGTGTCAAACAAATCAAAGTGATGGATTTTTTCTATAAGAGATGGTGGATGGAGAAATTAATCAAACATGACCTTGGCACGTCCCTCGTAGACCGAGAAATCCCCCAATTCCTTCATATTGGCACACTCTGTGGTGGTTAGTCAAGCCGAAGTCCTAAGGTTCGATTCCCCCTAGGGGTCCAACGTGTGAAGCCATTCTTGCTGGGATATTGCTGAGAGTGGCGTTTAACCCTGCTCACCGATTCATTTTACATTAGTTGGACGAAAACCTGATGTACGTTCAATATGGTGGCAGAAAGAATGGTCCCTTGATCCTAAAAGAACCAGGTTTGAATGTGTTACTCGGTGAACATACACTGATGTCACTCTAGTTTGTGTGACTAGTTTCTTCAAGCAATTCGTCCTGAAAGGATTTCATTATATCACAAAATGAAATATGAGCTACTATTTTACTCGTTCATAACTTTATCACATTGGCAGCTGAAATAATGTTTTAATACGTCATTCCATACTGCTTTTTGCCTCGGGGGATTAATTTTTTTCTCTTTGGGAAATTTCAAATTCAGAATTCTAAGGAGCAGGTGTATGCTGTCTGGTGTTAGTTGGTCGCTCAATATGACCCGCCTCTCATCCGGGTTGTTAGCTCTTCTCTTGGAGCAATAATACAGGCTTAGGGAAGCATGTACATGGTCCAAGCATAAACACCAGGCCGCCATATCTTGTCACCTGACTAAATAATCACTCGTCTCGGGTTCACAGCCGTGGAACTCTGTTACCAAACATCGGAACCGCTCGTCAAACGTCCGTTACTGTTAGATCTCTGTAGCATCTTCCCAGATGGATGGGCGGAGACATACAG